CCAATCATGAAAGGTCGTGACGTTATAGCGCAGGCCCAGTCTGGTAAGTGATAGATGTGTTATATACAACATTTCGTGTTATTATAGATAGAGATGAGAAGCTCAGACTAACGGGTGTGACCGACTTGACAGTTGTCCTTGTCACGCTGTAATTCGCGGCACATCGTGGGGCGATGCGCGGCAAATTCTCAGTGTGCATCAGTTCGTTGAGTAAAGCAGCGAATTTGTTGTGAATTCAAGCGAACGAGTCTACTCACCGAATTAGCAGATCTTTCCCGTCTCTTTATTATTCAAGCAATCAATCAGGGCAAAATGACCCTCGAACGGAGCACATTGCGATTGTCTTGTCACATTTCTGCTTCCCAAGAGCTCACCCCGGAACTCTCGCCGCTCAAACAGCGCTGACGCAAAGCTGTAGACTGACACAATCGTGAAGTCCCTTCAGCCTTTATCGATAACATCTTGAGAACAAACTTTCTTTCATAGGCAAAAGTCACTTTGAAATATCGTCAATAGAGATCAGACAATGAGAAAGCTTCTTGTTTCTGTTTACGAGAAGAATATCCGATGAGGTGGAGCTCGAAAAACCATCCGTTTGATTTCATGGTTGCTTCAAAGCATAATGCTCGGTTTCAGGTACCGGAAAGACTGCTACGTTCTCGATTTCGGTGCTTCAATCAATTGACACAGACCTGAGGGAGTGCCAGGCTTTGATTCTTTCACCGACTCGTGAATTGGCTGTACAGATTCAGAAGGCGAGTCTTTTTTACAATCAAAAGGTAGCTCGGACAATTCAGAGTCCGTTTGAATGAAGTAGAGGTAAACAGTTTCAGGAAACTACGGTCGCAGGAATTACCGAGAATTCAATTCCGTACAAGGATCCTTGTTAGAATTCTTGTAGTCATCCTGTGACCATTTCAGCAATCCCACTTCATGCGGTAGTAGTTTTAGGAGGGAAGAGAATAGCAAAGCAGAAGAGTGTTACTTCATGTTCGCTCCAATCTAATTTGGGGTTTTCAAGGCGGTTGGTAATTGCCGTCGTCTGTCTTCCACAAGTCCAAGGGTGGGGCCATCTTTTGACGTCTCACGATGTCTACCGTACCCTCCATCCACATTTTTTTTTCTTCGTCCCTCCCTCATTTATTTTCTTCTTCATTCTCCTCACACCCCTCTCTGCCCAACGGAAGATATGTTGAGAAAATAAATCTAGATTCTCGCAGCCGTAAAGCATCCGCCCGTCAAAGATCTGTATTTTGAGCGTAACGAGCTCCAAAGGTTTTGTTCCTTCATTGTTCGTGGTAAAGTATTCAATTTTAGGTCGTTTTGGCTCTTGGAGATTACATGAATGTGCAGTGCCATGCATGTATTGGTGGTACGAACATCGGTGAAGACATTCGTAAACTGGACTATGGACAGCATGTTGTAAGGATCATATAAGTCATTGAAAATTTTGTGCCAATTTCCTAGGTTAGAGAAGAGGTAGAAGCTACAGTCGTAGCTAGATCTCGCTTTTTTTTAGAAATTGCTGCGGTGTCAATTGTGTTTAGTAGCGAAGCTATTTTTCCTGTGAAAAAATTGCTTTAAGGTGTCGGGTACTCCCGGTCGTGTGTTCGATATGATTCCGTCGTCGTAATCTCCGTACACGCTCGATTAAACTGCTAGTTCTGGACGAAGCCGACGAGATGTTGAATAAAGGATTCAAAGAACAGCTTTATGATATCTATAGATATCTTCCACCTGGCGCTCAGGTATACCAGTAGGGAAGAGGCTTTGTTGACAGCTAATCACTAATTGATTTGTAGGTCGTTTTGCTATCTGCCACACTACCTCATGAGATTCTTGAAATGACCAGTAAATTCATGACTGACCCTATCAGAATCCTCGTAAAACGTGATGAGTTGACATTGGAAGGCATCAAGCAGGTTCGTTTTATTTCACTATTATTTTTTAATTCGACTTCCCGTAATTTCCTTGACAGGTAATGGGAAACTGGCAGTTAAATTGGCCTGAAATCACACCTTTCAGTTCTTTGTCGCAGTTGATTGTGAAGAGTGGAAATTCGATACGCTCGTGGACCTTTACGACACGCTCACCATCACTCAAGCAGTGTTGTTCTGCAATACTCGTAGAAAGGTAGGGTGTGATCCTTTATGTAGTCAGATTGGGGCAAACCAATGCCTTTGTTCCAGTTTGGGCGGGCTTCCCGTTCTTCTGCGATCAATATGTCAGCTGGAGGACGTTAGTGAGAATGTAAATAGGGATTTAATCGACTTTGATTAGATCAATCGGCCTATATAATTCGTTACGTAATCACGGTTCTATGATATCAAGCAGTTTTGGGGGGGGGGGTACGACAGGTCAAAGAATAACTGAGAAGCGTAACATTTACAATCCTTCTTACAGTTTACTCACAGTCAGTTCACAGGGCTGCCCCGTTCGTGAAGAATTCGTAGTTCGGGAGAATCAGCATAAAGCAAGTGTACATATTGATGTAAAATCCGGCAAAACACGGTCTGTCAATGAGAAGAGTCGCGCATTATACAATGTGCGACATCCAGTGGCGAATTAGGGACACCTGCGAAAAGTTTCGGTTCGTATCGACAGGGTAAGTCGGAGGAGGCGCATTCAGCGTCTCCGTGAAACGTTAGATATGTATAGATTTTGCTGACTCTGCCCAGGAATGGGGGAGCCGATGAAGGTGGTGTTCCGATCGCTTCGGCGCTTCTCGCCATCGATATATATTTACCTCGTCGCGGGTCCGCTAGATTTCCCCGCCCGTTCGCTGATTCTCCCTATCGATGCGTACTGAAAAAACATCTCCACGGACGCGCTTATTTCGCCCATCAGGCAGTGTCTCACAGTAAGGAATGCCCCAGTTATCTGCCTCTAATCCTTCGCTGCTGATTCTCCGAGTAGCCTATTGTCCACCTTCTCCTCTATCTACCGAATATGGCTCAACGAGTGAACATGAAACAGCTTCAGAGTCAAAACACCCTTTTGATCTAGCTCAAAAATCCAGCATTTATGATCGTATGGCATGGTTCACCCTTGCCCCTTCCGATTAGACCATGTTCGTCAAGTATGGCTCTCTGACGTTCTAGTGATCCTGATCTTTCAAGTGTCGTTATTCAGGTCGACTGGTTGGCTGAGAAGATGAAGGAAGCGAACTTTACAGTGTCATCTATGCATGGTGATATGGAACAGAAGGAGCGTGAACAGATTATGAAGGTACCGTATCACTTCTAGATTACCATTTATTTTACAGAATAATCATATTCCACGTGTTTAGGAATTCCGAGCAGGAAACAGTCGAGTGTTGATTTCGACTGATGTGTGGGCACGAGGTCTTGATGTTCCTCAGGTTTCCCTCGTAAGTCATCTTCATGTTAATCAATTTTGGCACCTATTTTGCTTTATAATGTGTGCTGTGGTTTCAGGTTATCAATTATGACCTCCCAAATAATCGTGAATTGTACATTCATCGTATTGGTCGCTCGGGTCGATTCGGAAGAAAGGTTAGTGCGGTCAACGTTCGATGACATCTGACTGTCTAAAGGCACGCCCTGCGTTCATATGATGTGCAGACGCCTTCTTTGCACGCGATAGTCCCGCCCGCAAACATGGAGTATGTGCTACAGCGGAGCTAGCACGAGATACGTACGAAACGCGCCACCCGCTCGCGAAGAAGCCATGGTCCCGCATTGGCTACGGCAACGCCCAACTTTCATTTCTAACTGCTAGCTGGTGGTGCGGTTGTTCCTGCTACTAACTCTCCCTCTCCTCTCCACCACATGGTAAGAGTGAGGGTATGTGGCAAAACAATCGTGATATGGTGGGCGCCTAACAAACGGGTATTTCTGCCTGGTCATTTTACTTTAGTTTAAAGGGACGGGAAATTTTATGTCGCCGTCACGGAGTTGCCTTCGCTCACGGCTCCATTTGACAAACTGTTGCACGTCGCCGCACAGTACGTTGCGCGAACAAACGAGGGCAGACGGGCAAGGGAATCGTTTCGCCGCTCCGCCGCGCGCGGCGATGGGCGCGGCGTTTTCTTAACTCGTGTTAACCTGTCGACTGGAGCACCGGACTTCATGTAGACCCCGTCGTCGTAGACATTCATGACTATTTTCGGTTCTGAATTGCCTGTTGTCGCCATCTACCTGGAACCATCGTCATTTGCGGGCGCGACGTCGCACGCGACGCCCACCAGCGCTACGAATTACGATTCTCTTGTCACATACCCCAAACGAGAACCCGTCCGGCAACACCCTTTTTGCCCTTGCACGTACAAATGCAGTTCGACATGGGGTTCTATTTCGGGGTCGTGCGGGCTTTTAGTGTTTTTCTTCACTTTGGTGTTATTAGGTTGGCGGGAAAGTTCTGTCACATTTTTTCAAACTAGGCTTTCTTTTTATAGAGAGGAGTGTAAGATCAAAATTGTACAGCAATGTTACTGCGGGGTCCTTGCCACTGTTTGAGCACCTCATGGATGCCATTGCTTCACTATGCAGGGAGACACGACGCAAAGTTGGACACCATCTCAACCT